ATGCATACATACATTGTTAACTCATCTTTATTTTAAAATCTAGAGAGACAAACTTAAAAAAATAGTGCTTCAGTTCATTGAGCTTCTTACTTGTGCTGTGATGAAGGAATATTTTTTAGAGGCTACTATGGTTTTTCTAGTTGTATTAAAAATAAATTTGTTTAAAAGTTGTTGTTTTTTTGGATTCAGTCCCTGCAATAATTCTGGCTGAGTGTGTGCCATATGTCCAAAAATAGAATATTTATAACTTGAATTCTACAGTTAGACCTCACTAATGGACACCATAACCACACATTTTGTTCAAATACACTGTAAAAAATTATCTTTCGAAGCTGTAAATACTGTAAAACAAAGATTATTAGAGTATGTTTTCTGAGAAAATACTGTTACTTGCATTTCTTTGTAACTGTTTGTGAAATTTCTGAGTGAAAAGTATTTCTACACCATTTTTTAATAATAAATTATTAATATATTTTTTTAGAAAATTATTTATTAATCATTTCTATATTTAGTTACATATTTTCATGCAAACAACCATTAAGTACATGTAAATAGACTGATGCAAGTTTCTGCAAAACTAAACTATAAATATTCACCATTCATTTTGAATTGGACACCACCAAAAACTGACTCATTGTTCAATGGTGGAGTCAATTGTGAACTCAGTAATGATTCATTTAGTGAATCTGATTCAAATGCCCTTAGCAGACGACTCTGAGGAAGGCTGGGAGGGCTTGGTGTTCCATTTGCGACAGACCCTTCGAGGCTGTTTGATGAACTTTTAAAAAAAGTACCGGCACATTAGAGTAATTTGTTCACAAATTGAACATCATGGCTCATGGTGCATGCAAATCTAAATAACTAACACCACCTCACAAGATGATTTCTGACAAAACTGCATATGAAAACTTGACAGAACGGGACTTTCCAACCTTGTGCCTGTAGTGACATTTATGGACTTTTCATGACACTTTTAAAGTGAAATATCCAGTAAGTGGCAAAAAAAAAATGCATTCAGTTTTATCTGAAACAGATAGTCATGAATCTAGAAACTTTTTTTTCACATTGGTTGTTATATGTAAGCTGGGAATTTGGAAATTAAATGTCTGGTAAAAATAACATGGCATCTGATTATTACATAGTACCTACACTACACCTAACCGATAGTTTTAAAATATTTTATCATGTTTCTACAAGTCTTTGAGCTCTTTTGTCATGACTCATGTTTCACAGGACTCGTACTTCAGTGTTTCACATCATAAGTGCAGTGCTGTACCGGGTGCGCTAACAAGCAAGTTTACTTAATCAGAAAAGCCAAACATATGGAGCTTCTTATGTGACGCAAACATCAAAATGTATTAGTTTACAAATTATGCACTTTTGAAAGTGTTTTGAGCTCATGACATAGTATTGTGCACAAGATATCGCAAAAATAAGTCTTTATTAAGCAACAATCTGCCACTATAATCATAATCTGTGTGAAAAGGAATACAAGTTGTTGGTGTTTTACTGCCAATAGTGTTCATATCAACTGGAATCTACATTCTTAGACTTTTCCAATGAGCCTAGGTTGGGATTTTCAATTATTGTCACCTTTTTTTCGCATTTGTGAGCATTTTGGTTATAGTCTGCAGCTCTGAAATCCGTACCATATGACATCAGTTTGGCAAAGATGAAACGTCTCCAGGCCAAAGGAAGCACAATCCAGAAGAAACACTACTAACAATCCCACATGGATCCACAGAAAGTGACTAGGAGCTACAGAATAGTGGAGACAAATGTGTCTAATCAGGATCTAACCCATTGAGATGAATGCAGGGGGGGCATGGACGTTATTTATATAAATAGTTATATAAAGAGCTCTGGATTGCATTGGCGGGAAACATCTAGTTTTTTCAGCAGTCAAACTTTCACTACATGTTTACAATCACTACTGTGAAAGATTCAAATCATTCTCATCGTCGTAATTCAGCTGTCAAATGACTCCAACGAGCAAAATTACAACCAGCGCTTGGCCTCGTGCCTGGATGCCAGACTGACCGTGAAGTCACTGAAAAAGACGTAACCTCCAGGATCCATCCGCTCAACTAAAAAGACGCTTTGGGCGGAGGTTTAGTAAACTGATAAATGAGACGAGCTGCACATTTCTCAGAACTGGAAGCCAACACCATATCTTTCGATGCCACAAACACGGCATGTGTGTTTATGCCCATTTATCTCCAACAGCTTGAGCGGAGAACACACATAAATCACCTCCTGCTTTTATGTACAGACGTGTTTACCAGAAGAAAACACAAATGTATAAAATTTATCAGAGGAAGCTTTGGTGTGTGATAAGTTCATAATGAGTTTCTCTGGATGGAGATTACAGGCAGCTCTTGTATAAATAGGTCGCAGTGTTACAGGACTGTTGGAGCTGATTTTCTCTTGGACAAGAGGCAAGAGCTGAATAGGAAACAGGTCCCGAGTGGAAACTGAAGTCAAGAGGACTGTTCAAGCCTTACATAAGCGTACCGTGGTACGGTGACTAGGAATATAAGCTTGGGTTCACAAAATAAGCCTCTTGCCTCGGGCTCAGAACTAGACAGAAAATCCCAGGCTGGGTTGGAGCCGATCTCCATAATATCATAATATCATAGTTCTTTGCTAGATTTAACATGATTAAGTCATGCTATTTACTTTGTAATCCAACATAATTAAAAATTACCATAGTATTGCAAAGGTTGATGTTTTTAATTGGATTTGTTAGATCACTCTTTACAAAATATCGTGGTTTCATGGCAAATCATGGCAATATCATGGATATTGGGATAATACAATGACAATGCTATAGTAATATCATGGTATTCTTTCACTTTTAAGTACCATGGTATATGAATATGATAATCAGTACTATGGAATAGGTCAGAAAACCAATGTATCACTAATACCATCACAAATCCATGATATATACTACTTTTTGTAAACTTTTAAAAACAAACTCTTATATGTACATCGGGGTCGATATGGAAGGTAATTGCGATATTTTATCTCACAATTCTGTTATTTTTCTTGCAAATCTGAGTTTATGTCTCACAATTCGTACATTTTCCCCACAATTCTGAGAAAAAGTCTTATTAACTCACAACTGAGAAATATAAACTTGTAATTCAGAGATAAACAGTCAAAAATGTGAGATATAAAACTCACAAATGCAAAGAATAAAACAAAAAAAAGTGAAATAAAAAGTCACAATTAACTTTTTTATTTATTTATTCCTTTGCGCTGAAAAAAGAAATGTAAAAATATTTTAGAATTGTGAGGTGAAAAAAAAAACACAAATAATTTCTAATTCTTTGAAGCAGAATAAAAAAAATGTTTTTTTTTTATCTCACAATTCTCGCTTTTTTTCTCTTACTTTTTGTAAACTTTTAAAAACAAACTCTTATATGTACATCGGGGTCGATATGGAAGGTAATTGCGATATTTTATCTCACAATTCTGTTATTTTTCTTGCAAATCTGAGTTTATGTCTCACAATTCGTACATTTTCCCCACAATTCTGAGAAAAAGTCTTATTAACTCACAACTGAGAAATATAAACTTGTAATTCAGAGATAAACAGTCAAAAATGTGAGATATAAAACTCACAAATGCAAAGAATAAAACAAAAAAAAGTGAAATAAAAAGTCACAATTAACTTTTTTATTTATTTATTCCTTTGCGCTGAAAAAAGAAATGTAAAAATATTTTAGAATTGTGAGGTGAAAAAAAAAACACAAATAATTTCTAATTCTTTGAAGCAGAATAAAAAAATTGTTTTTTTTAATCTCACAATTCTCGCTTTTTTTCTCTCAATAGCCAGTTAACATGGTTCTGTGTTTATATCTCGCAACTCAGACTTTTTTTTTTCTCAGAATTGCCGGAAAAGAGTTTCAGAACTCAGTTTCAGAATTACAAGCAAAATCAGAATTGTGAGATAAAAAGTCACACCTTTTATTCTCTATTCCGTAAGAGTAAAAAAGCTTTCATAGATTCCACTTTTTCTTATTTAATAACCTTTTGGTTCACAAATGACATCCTCTGCATAGCAATTTGTGAATTTGAATTAATGTAAATAACATATACCTTTTTTTTATTAGTAACCTAAAAATAGTGGAGGATCTTAACTAGTTTTGTTTAAATTAGATTTTGAATGCCATATTTTCAGTGTGAATCTCAGACTTTTGGAGCCCACTGAACATACATCACCAATGACACCTACTGTACGAATGGAAAAAAATAAACAGAGAGAACAATAAACAGTGACAGAAGACACATTTGATAAGCATCTTAGAGCGAACGCCCAGGTCAAGCCCTCCACCTCTCAGTACAGACTGTACTGCAACGTCCATGCAAATGTCCATCGAGGACCTCATTCATTCATTCCTCATGTTTGTCACTCCTGAAGAGCAGCAGACACAACAGACGCCTCAGCACAAACACACAGTGCTCGTAAATACCTTCAGATGAATGTCTGACACACCTGCGGGTCTGTGCATGTACATGTAGGCGTGTGTTTGTCTGCAGAAGTGTGCATTCATCATTCAGACTGGAGACACAAGCCTCCCCAGAGTTTTCAGTGACACTGCCATCATTCCATCATGTCTGCTCTTCAAGATCAAAGCCTGTCAAATTTAATCAATAATAATAATAATAATAATAATAATAATAATAATAATACATTGTTTAATAATAATAATAATAATAATACTAATAATTATTATTATTATTATTATTATTGTTGTTGTTGTTGTTATTATAGTATAGAAGTGTTCAAAACCCAACCTACATAATTTTTGTAATGAATATTTATTCATTTATTATATAGGTATTCGATGTATAGGTATTACTGTATATCAGGATTTGAAACCTTACACACTAAATGCGAATCAGACCACTAGGCTAACAATTGTATAGTTGTTAAACAGTGTTATCTTGCAGGATGCTGCCGGGCCCCTCAGTGAAGTGCATTTACTCACACACTCTGAAGCCGGATCCAGGTGGCGTCTGTCCTGCCTGCTCGCTGTTGTAGATAGTGGTGACATTTCCGCGCTCGCAGTAGTTGGTGCAGCGTCCCTGCGTGCAGCGCAGCCTGCAGATGGTGGGGGTGAAGAGCACTTTGATCCGCTCCGAACCCCTGCGGACGACGGCGGAGCGCTGCTGAGCCACGGCTAGACAGAGGCAGAGGGCAAAGCCAAAGCAGAGCAGCAGAGTCAGCCTGTGAGGACGCATGGCGAGCGCCGTTCACACACACATCACACACACACTCACAAACCCGGGATGAAGACCGAAACGTCTTTTTCTTGGCTCGTCCCTTCAATATCCCTGGAAAGGACCAACTAGTGCACAAAAAAAAGCCCAATTCCTGTTCTGGCACAGATATGAGGTAATGTGCGCCACACACACCTGTGTGTGTGTGTTTGTATGTGTGGCTGTGAATGTGTTCAGAAAGCTGTTTGCTGAGGAAACCAGAGCCGTCCTGGTGTTTGAAGGAGCTGTTGCAAGCAAATTCTGGCGGCGATTGAGATCGGATCCATCACCCGCTGATGCCCCTCTCGCTCTCCTTCAGCCCTGCGCTCACAAGCACACCGACAGGCTTCTCAGCGCTCTCACTACATGAGGAGAGAACTTTCTCTGGCATATGAGGGGGAGAGAGAAGAGTGGGCGGCGAAACCCAGGAAACTAGCAGGGGAGAGAGAGAGAGAGACTCTGTGTCTCTGGCATTGCACACGAGGGGTGAGGTCAGCGCTGTTTAATGTGTGTGTGTGTGTGTGTTTGTGTGTGTGTTTGTGTGTGTGTAGCGGTTGCTTGTAGATGAAGGGAGGAGTGTATTTTTCTCTGCATTTTCAACGCTGTCATTTGGCGAGCTTTCTCTGTTCCCCTGCAGCGTGCGCTGAATGTTTACGAATAGTTCAGCACGAATGAATCATTTAGTCACCTTTGAGACTCTTCTGTGGAACACAAAAGGAGAAATTCGGAAGAATGTTCACGCTGCTCTTTTCCAGAAACTGATTGTGGACAAAATGACAATAAAGCACTATAACATATTATAAAGGGCTATAATTCAAATCATATGACAGCTTTGTTTGAAGAACAGACCAGCGTTTTGGCCTCTACTATTACTCTACAGTCTTAAAAATAAAGGTTCTAAAAGTTTTTTTTTTTTTTGCAGCGATACCATAGAAGGACCATTATAGGTTCTTTAAAGAACATTTCAGTGATCAGTTCTTAAAATAATGTTTGAAGAACATTTTAATAATCTAAAGAAACTTTTTTCCACTATAAAGAACCTTTGTGGAATGGAAGGGTTCTATGCATGTTTCTTGGAACACTCTTCAAAATAAAAGTTCTTTATTGGCATCAGTGGTTCCATAAAGAACCTTTAACCTCCACGGAACCTTTCCAGTAGACAAAAGGTTCTTCATGGTGGAAAAAAGGTTCTTTAGATGACTAAAATTTTATTCACACTAAGAATTGTTATTTTAAAAATTGTTCACTGAAAGGTTCTTTGGGGAACCGAAAATGGTTTTGCTATGGCACTGCAGAAACAAACAAACAAACAAATAAACAAACAACAAGAGTAAAAGAGTAAAAATCGTTTTTATTTTTAAGAGTAAAGGGGAAAAAAATAATGGCAATCAAGAACCCACTAGGGGACCTGAGCAAACCTTTAAGGGTGCCTCAAGATGACTTAAAATGATTTAAAACAAGGCAAAATAAGCTTTAAATGAGCTAGAAGGGTTAATGTGGAAAATCAGGATACATGAGGAAACCTCATGTTGAAAGTGTGATTTCTAAACCTGTAAGTATCATGTAACTAATGAAATCGTACAACTCCGTGGACTATTTTATGATGATTGTACATTTTTCCAGTAATGCCAAGCTCTAAAATATTTTATCAGGTAGAAATTGTGAGTTAAAATATATTAGTAACACTTTACAATAAGGTCTCATTTGTTAACATTAGATATACAAGATTAACAACTAAGATTAATAAATGCTGTAGAAGTACTATTTATCCTTATTCATGTTTATCATTAGTTTATGTAGTTCATGTATGGTGATGCTCTGTTGTCATTTTGGAGCTTTATGAAAAAAAGAGCTGTCAGTATTTTCCTCAAAAATTCCATGGATTTCGAAATTCCAAACATTCCTATTGAATTCCATTGAAAGCAGGTCATTTAGGTTTGGAGTGACATGAGGTTGAGCAAATGGTGGTAATTTTCATTTTTGGATGAACTTTTCTTTTTAAACGGAGTATAAACCTAATCTAAAACATGCGTTTGACCAAATAAGCATCTGGATCCACACAAAGTCAAAAATTCCACAAAGCAAAGAACAAACTGTTCAGAGCTTCTAAAGGGATTAGTTCTTATAAAAGATGATGCCGCATTCTTCACAGATTATATGGTTTACCCAAATTTGGTGTCTGAATACACCTGCAGGGAATACAATCTAAAAATGTTTTTCCTAAACAGCAATGAGAAAGCTAATTGAATTTTGCTCAAGTATTCTGCTTCTTAGACTGACTTCTCCAGAGAAAAGTCTTAGTAATCTCTCAGACTTTGCTTAGATTTGCCAAAACTCCAATTCTGCAACAAAATGTCTCAGATCTCAATACAAAAAGATTTCTCATCATATTCGTCCAAGATTAAATAATCTGCAGTCCCAATTTATGTCTGTTGTATAAATCAACGATTTATTTTCCCTAAGGAGTTTCTGGAGCCCCTTCCTGTTTTTAAATGTTTTTGCATATTTTTCACAATTGAATGATTCAGATCATCAAGCAAATTATTTATATTACACAAAGATAACCTGAGTAAATACAAAATGCAGTTTTGAAATAATGATTTCAATTATTAATGGAAAAAAGCTGTCCAAACCTGCCTGGCACTGCGTGAAAAAGTAATTGCCCCCTAAATCTAATAACTGGTTGTTCCACCCTTTGCAGCAACAGCTGCAATCAAGCGTTTGTGATAACTGGCAGCGAGTCTTTCACATTGCTGTGGAGGAATTTTGGCCCACTCTTAAGTTCGCTTCAGCTTGAGGTCACGAACAGATGGCCGGACATTCTCCTTCAGGATTTTTTGGTAAACAGCAGAATTAATGGTTCCATCAATTATGGCGAGTCATCCAGATCCTGAAGCTGCAAAGCAGCCCCACACCATCACACTACCACCACCATGTTTGACTGTTGCTATGATGTTCTTTTACGAAATGCTGTGTTGGTTTTACGCCAGATTTAACGGGACACACACCTTCCAAAAGTTCAACTTTTGTCTCATCAGTCCACAGAATATTTGCCCAAAAGTCTTGGGGATAATTAATATATTTTTTTGGTAAATGGGAGACGAGCCGTTGTGTTCTTTTTGGTCAGCAGTGGCTTTTGCCTCGGAACTCTCCTATGGATGCAATCTGTTCTTGAATTTCTTTAGATCGCGGCATGATGTGTTGCTCTTTAAGCATGCTTCACTTTGTCAGACAGCTTCTATTGAAGTGATTTCTGGATTCAACAGGTCTGGCAGTAATCAGGTCTAGGTGTGGCTAGTGAAATTTAACTCAGCTTTCTAAAATAATGTTATATATATATATATATATATATATATATGTGTGTGTATACATGTATGTACTGTAAGTGTGTACTGTATGTATGTGTGTATATATATTTTTTTTCTGCCAAAAATATACTTTAAATATGTACTAAATATACAGTATGTAAACAGCGAAGCTCAGTTAAATATATTTTAAATACTATATATATGTAAACATTAAAGCTCAATTATATAGTCTCAACCTTCATATATCAAAATATATAAAAAAAAAAAAAAAATTGTGGACAGAATAGCCTAGGGATTAAAAAAAAGAGCCATACTTATTTTGGGCATTGTAAAATATGTTTCTTACATTTTATTTATTTTATTTTTTATTTTTTTTCAAATGCCCTATATGTTCACGTGTTAAATGTTTATATGCACAAAACGTTTTCTTCAAATGTGAGACTATGTGAATGTATTTTATTGGATTAAAATATATGGAGGGCAAAATACAGTATATTTTTAAAATGCTTATAAAACATACATTTCTATTTGTAAAATATATATTTTCAACAAAAATGGCTACAAATATATTGGTAGAAAATATATTTCCATAAATAAGTTTTTTTGTTTGTTTGTTTACTAGTTTTTACATGAAATAGAAATACATTACATGAAACATCACAGAGCAATGAAAGAGCAACAACAGAGCAATGCAGTCCAGGAAGGAGCAAACCGTGGGTTAAATGTGCAGAAATGAGGTGAACATGATTATGACTCAGACTGACTTGACACACTTTCAGAATCTGGGACAAATAGGGCTGTTTTGAACGCAGGAGCCTGAAGCGCAGACGCTGTTTGCTGGAGGAACAGATTTCTCCCCACACACACACACACACACCTGTATCTGAGAGTAGCTACGCTGACACGTCCCACAGCTGCTGGAATCAGGCCTGCTGGGACCATAAATTAACAACGCTACCGTAGGGAGGACCGAACCCTGCACTCCTCTGTACGGATGATCTATGGATGACTTCACCCAAACTGACCACCTGCCGCGGCCCGACAACCACATACAGTATCCCACAGTCATCTATATACACGTGTCTCTTATTTAAAACAAACAAACAGCTAAAACAACAGCTTTTCCTTCTTGATCTACTTTAAAATTACTCCATCAATCATTTGGGAGGAGCTGCTCAGCTCGTGATGTCAATGTTTTACATATTAATGAGGCAGTAAAACATGCTTTACTATGGCAACTGGTCTTGTTTCTCGTGTTGTTTGGGAATGAAGTTGAATTTGTAAGCTTGTTGTTGTAAATGATGTCATCATGCGGTACTGGATCACACACACTCTCTCTCACACACACACCAAACTCACACACACACACACACACGTTTGTTTCTGTGAATTGTGGGGACTTTGTGACGGGCCACATGCCACTGCCCTAACCCTAAACCTACCCCTTACAGAAAACCTGTTTGCATTGTTACACTTTCAGATAAACATAATTTACTATTTTAATCTTTTTTTTTTTCCCTCGTGGGGACCGCAGGCCAATCCCCACAATGTCAACAATGTCAGGTTTTACTATTCTTGTGGGGACATTTGGTCCCCAAAATGTAGCATAGACAAGACTCACTCACTCACTCACTCACACACACACACACACACACACACACACACACACACACACTCTGTCTCATACTCACTCACTCACACACACACACGCATGCTCACACAATATCATAAATCTCCATACAGTATATTATTACTTTTTTCATGCAGGTTTGGCAATGAAATCTTCTTTTCACTTTATACTCATAATGAAACTCATTCAGTTATTCGACTGACAGATGCTTTTATATCCACTGCAACTTAAAACTTTAATCGATATGTGCTGAATGAAACCAGTGACTGCCAGTCAAGCTTCAGAAACATGAACTGACACTTTCCATGAATAAGCAACAAAACAGGCCTCAGAATTATGTGTTTGTTTGTTTGTGAAAGAAGGTGCTAAACCTTCATAAAGTATTAAACATTCAACTTTTCATGCATTTTATTTTATTTCATAGTATTTTTAATACTGGCAACCCTGTTACCAAATGCTAAGACATTTTATTGTGATTTTGCAATTTATAAATAAATAAATAAGTAGTATTTACTTAATCCATGAATTAATAGATTTTTTAAATAAATTAATGTATATTTATTTCTATAATCCATATCCATGGTACCAAAACTGAAGACATAAAACACAGTTTAAAACTATCTGTAGAACTAAAAATTAAATAAACATTACACATATAGATTTAAAAACACATACAAAATATAAAGACAACTTTAAAAAATCTTTATTAAAATAAATTACTTAAAATCATCTTTAAAAAATAAATCCTTCAAAAAAAACGTTAAAATGTCTATTTATTTGTTTGTGTTTAGATTTCAATAATTACAAGCATGTTACAAAAATCGAAGAAAACAAAAAAAAAACTGTAGAACTAAACTTAAAATAAACATAAAAAGTAAAGACAAAATCTTAAAAAATAATTGTAATTATAAATTAACTAATACAAACTTGTTTATTTATGGAGTGAATGTTAGCTTTTAGTCTTTCATTTTTTAGATACACACAATAGCATGCCATTTCAATATCAACCATTTATCTGCCATCAGCCCTGAAAAATGATCAACTTATATAAACAATCAATAACAGCTTCAGGTAATTTTAATATCAATTCATTCCTACTGTATCTTAAACATGGGGAAAGTATTTCTTCATTCTAACCTGACTTTATATTAGATTAGATATTTATCCAACATTTCAAACAATTCTCAAAATGAACAGATACATGCAATGTGTGCCTCTAAAGCTTGTGTAAAATAGTAAAGGGACACTGAAATACCATATCCATGTAATCCAGCTCTGGATTCTCAGGCCATTGACTGGTTTTAAGAGGGACTTTTGGGATTTTTTGGAGCACACCATGAGCAATATCGTCTGAGATCGTCATTCGCTCAGTGTCAAATTACAACCTCTTTGAATCTAAAATCGAATCTAAAATCTCTCTTGACTCTAAAACCACAGAAGAACAGGTCACATCAGTGCACAGACACTGGGGAAAAACAGCATTAATCATAAGTTCACCAAAAATCCACTATCAACAACATCTCACACAAGCATTCATACTTGGCAAAACAAACTGGACAATACAATCCTGACGAAGAGCTTAAGGGTCAAGCTATTGTGTAACGGATCTATATGACTGTGTCTTGCGCTCATCGTACTGACACCAGTGGAATTCAGCTCTCGCTGTACGAGAGTAAATATTTATAAAATGTGCCATTTCACTCGTCATCGCAAAAATAGGTCATTAATGAAGAAGTGGTTTCCTCATGCGCTGGAATGCTGAGCTTCTGTCACATTACATTACAAACTCTCTCAGCGTGGAAACTTGGATTCAGCCGGCATGAAGTGTTGCATTTCCAGAGATCTGGCTTTTGGCAGCGGCTCTTTTCTTTTCCACGAGAGACGACATCCTTCATTCGAGAGTTTTCCACTTCTCCGGGCAATAAGCGTTGACGTTATGCGGCTGGAGAAGGTGTATTATAGCGTTTGAAGTTAAAGGAGAGAGGAGAGGGAAGCCCTGAGGTTACGTGGGGTTGTTTACATGCTGGCTCTAGAATTAAAGGCCGGACTGGTGTTAGGAAAGGACTGTGGGGAATATCTGTGGGCTGCAGAGCACACTTCATTACATAAAACCACACTCAGCTAGGGAGAAACTGTATAGACTCAGCTCAGAGAACTGAGAATAACCTCAGCTCACACATTCCTCAGATTAAACTTCTTCATAACAGTGTTATTGTAGTATCATTTATATTCTATTATGTTTTTGAGAATATTTTAGATTCTATTTTTATATTTGATCGTTTTAACTTTAGTTAAAATTTTGGGCCATTTTCTTTCTTTTTTTAAAACATAAATATGTTTTAGTGTTAGAAAACTAAAAAACATTTATAGGCACTTACAATAGTTTTAGTTATTTTATTACTTAAAAAAAGTGAAATGTTGCCTTGGCAGTACCTTATTTCAGTTAAAGTTTATTTTATTTCAAGTAATTAATATGTTTTATTGGTTTAGGTTTATGGTTTTAGTTTTTATCATTATTATAATTTTGTGAATACTTTAGATTTAATGTAATTTGATATGTTCTGTTTTTGTTTTAATTTTAGTTAAAGTTCTAGTATTTTTGTTGTGTTTTGGCCATTTTATTATTTTTAATATAAATAGGTCTATATAGTTTCTATTAAGTTTTAATACTATAAAGCTAAAATCTAAAACTTTTTAATTTAAATAATGAAAATTTTTATGGTTTATTTTTATGTTTTTTTTTCCATTGATGTGGACATTTTGAATTAGATTTTACATTTTTTACCTTTTCTGCTTTCAATTTAATTTTAAAGTTTTAATATATTTTTAACATATTACTTTATTTCATTATAGTTAATGCTTATTTTATTTTCAGTAATGGTTTCATATTTTTATTTTTTACTATTTGTTTATTTATTTATTTAGTTAGTTAGTTAGTTAGTTAGTTAGTTATATAATTATTTATTTATTTATTTTTCTAGTATTAGGTTACAACAATAACCCTGCTTCATAATAAAATATGATAGATATTAAGTGAATTCCATGAATAACCTGAAACAAAAATATGCTGGACCAGACTGAGGAACTGCTATAACATGCCACTCAAAGTTTTTACTCCCTAGAGCTTCACTTATCAGCTACAGCTTCATATTCAAGAGCTTGAAGAACATACATCTAGAGATAAGCAACATTAGACGTCTCTCTCTCTCTCTGTGTGTGCGTGTGTGTGTGTGTGTGTGAGTAAGAAAGAGGTCAGTCTCCTCACACTTCCCATGCGCTGCCACAGAGGGCCGTTCCAGTGTGTTATGAGGTCATGGAGACACAGGGGTTCCCATTAGCAAAACACCACATCCATCTCCTGAGTAATTACTGCACCATCACCTCTCAGCCAAGCTAAACAATGGCAGGAATATGCTACAATGGTGTATCCAGGCCTGTCTCAATGAACCAGCCCGAATCTACAGGCAGATAAACCTTATCGCGGCACAAACGTTTTAAACCAGGAAACAGGCCGAATTATTAAAACAAGATATTCTCTACTCAAGCCCGCTGATTTGAAACCATTGCTGCTGCTTCCAAAGAAAAGGTTAACATGTTGACACAGATACCTGTATAAACCTTAAAACTGTGGTTCTTCACCTTTTGGACTCCAAGTCCACAATAACAATGCGTCCCATGACTTTTCAAGACTTTTCTAACTAATAAAATATGTAGTATGAGCAATACACTAAAATGGTATAGAATTTACTTGGAATGATTTTCACTTAGAAATTGCTAGTAAATTTCACAAATAATTACAAAACAGGCAAATATCACATTGAATTAAGCATTACATTTTGAAGTAGAAAGACTTAAGTAGTATTTTATTGTCAAACATAGTCCAATAATCTTTATTTACAACTTATATAACACACACAAAATAAGTTCTTTATTTATTTACTTACTTATTTTTGTTACCTTTTCAGGTCTAAAAATCATACTTTTTAACTAAGGCTACCTCATATTTCCAGGTTATTCCAAGACCACGAAAAATCCAGTTCTTCACAGAAGTTTCAAGATGTCGAGGCAGTGAATTAAAATAATAAATAACTGGATTTTTAGTTGTTATGTCTCTTTCAAATAATGTTAGCTTATCTTGAAGGCCCCTTCCTTAGGTGTGCTGAGGCCCTCTAGTGGGCCCCGGACCCTTGGCTGAGAAACACTACCTTAAAATGTACAATGGGAATTGTTTTCATATACTAATACTAATGTTACTAACGGTAGAAAGCTTCAAAGAGCTAAAAGATGTTTGTTTGATCACCCAGAGGAAAATTGCATTGCTTACTGGTTGCGCATTCATAACTCATTTATGCTTCAAAAAGTAAAAATAAGAATGAACAAATAAGAAAAATCACTATTAAATGAGACAATTGTTGAGATTCTGTTCGAGTACAATGCTAGAAAAAAATCAGTGAAACATACAGGTCAGATAATTTGATCTTTGAGTTTGATATCATAATGAAATCTCTGACTTTTGATAGCAGAGACTTAAGATTTTTTAAGACTTATGTATAAGATTTATGTTTAAGGCATTTTTGAGATCTCATTTGCTCATTTTAAGAGACAAAGCCAAAGTCTCCATTGGCTCATCATTTAATCTCATTGATGTTTAGGAGAAACCATTTAACTATTAGAGGGATCTCATTTAAAACGTTCTTTTCTGCAGGGAAGGATATGAGGTGAATATTTTGCCTAATACATTTGATATTTCAAAATCATCCCTGCTGGCTTGAACTGACCTGCGGTGTAGATGAGGGTGAACTGGCCGCGTTGAGTGTGAAAGGTTTTGGTGCTGGAGATTTTTGTTGCTCCGGTAGAGGATGAAGACTCCAGTCTTCTTCGCTCTGATTCAATGTACTTCAGTATAACACTTGTGATCTTCTCTCCACCGGTTCCACTGGACAGAGCTTTTTTTAACAAGACCGACTGGGCCTCTTTTAAACTGAAACACAAGCCAAAATGAAAAGCCCTTTAAAAGTGCAAAAAGAAATCCACCAAAAAAAAAAAAAAAAAAAAAAGAAATATAACACTTGTGATCTTCTCTCCACCGGTTCCACTGGACAGAGCTTTTTTTAACAAGACCGACTGGGCCTCTTTTAAACTGAAACACAAGCCAAAATGAAAAGCCCTTTAAAAGTGCAAAAAGAAAACCACCAAAAAAAAAAAAAAAAGAAAAAGAAAGAAAAGCAGCACTAATAACATAGTTAAAAAGCATCATTACAAACTAGAACATCAAAAAAACAAACATAAAAACTATTTTATTTATTTATTTTACAGATTCTGCCAGGAAAAGACATAGCTAAAATATATTTTAAATGGGTAAATTGCAATAAAAATGAGAGTATGGATTGAGGTTATGTAAATGTATGTCTCATATGACCGTATGAATGCCAACTATGGTACTTTAGACTGCATTATGTAGGAAATGCAATTTTGATTCATTTTTTTTTTGTAGCACATTCACAAGAACTCCTTCAAGAAACATTACACTAATATCCATTCAATGAACATGAAATTTCCGAGTTGAATTCAAACTGTCCTTAATGGTCGATTAAAATAATGAAAAGGACTCTAATGAATACCACTGCAAACAGACCAAAGTTATCAACTTTCTTCTTGCATTGCAATGGTTTCCTGTACAACTGTTTGCTCTTGATGCAAATGTGCCAACCCTTTTTCAAATCCACAGCCTGGACACAGAAAGTCAAATGGTTCAGCTTGAGCATGCCATGAGCTAATTTTCCCAAACAGAGATCATTTACAGTGAAAACAAGCTGACGTGAGCTTGGGTCAACAGCAAACAGCCTATAAAATGTATGACCATTCCCATTTTACATGCAACCTTCCCAACTCTGCATGTGTTATACCCACACACACACACAAACACACACACACACACACACACACACACTCTGCTTAAACACCCCCGCTACTAAAGGAGATGATTGAGCGAGGCCCTATTCACAGAAAACCATGACATAAGACAAATGGAGAGGTCCTAATACAGAGCACTGGGGGACTCCTAGATTTGCACTGAGCTCCAGCAAAATGAACCATAATGATAATCAATCTTATACTCTATTTTTCAAATATAGACCATGTCTCTGATTCAAGAAATTAAATAAATTGTTCCAAGTGCAATATTCTTTTACTGTCAAAAAAAGAGGCAAGTAAAATTCCCGTCTTTGGGGTGCAGTCATATTTCCATTCTTTATTTTTTGCTTTGTTAAAATCCCCTAAACAGCTAATAAGCTTGGCCCTCTGTGATGATATACTACCATTTAGAGAACATTTCTAAAATACATATGCAGAGCACATACCTTTCATAGCAAACTAATGTAAGCATTCATATCTGACTAGAAAAGCCATGGAAATAAAAGCAGAACTTGCTTGTTTTAGATATTACACTCTCTGGGTTTAGTTGCCGGACTTGGGACTTTCAAAAACAGAGAACTTATCTGACATATCTAGTTCACACATTGAATGTGATATAAAAACTGTTGAAAGATGGGGAAATTGCAGGCTGTCAGCACAGAGTGAGTACGTAGCATTGGCCCATCAGGTAGATCATTGAAACTGACCCATACATGCAGTCTTTCAATAGTCTATTGTGAGAGAAGTGTTTCCACAGGGCAGGAACTTTCTTCCCAAGCTTAGATTCAGCAGAGGACTTGCTCAACAGTCTGAGATCATAACAGAGTGGGCCTGATAGACCTCATGAAAGCAGTAAATCTCTCAAACTAGGACACAACCCCAAATTGTATTGGTTTTAGAGTAAAGCAGATTTCAAACCATATTAATTCTGAATATTTGAAACAGTTTCAGTACATTGCATTGCGTGTTTCAAAGTGAAGCGCGGCACTGTGTTCATTTGCACGCACGCAGCTCAGGATCTGCTGTTTTCAGTATCTCTGAGCAAGTTCACAGTAAATCAGCATTTGAAAACACAGAATGTAAAGTTCTCCATGCAATTTTCTTCCACAAGAAAAGCTTGAGGGTTTAACTTTTGCAAGTGAACACATTAAGACACAAGAATTGTAATTTTATTACTGTAAAAACAAATAAAAAAAAAGAATAAAACATTTTTTTATTAATATTTTTTACAGTGCGGATGTATCACATCAGTAATATAGTTCCATCTTAGAGATGGATTAATAATTATTATAATTATGGTTTTAATAATAATAATAATAATAATAATAATAATTATGATTATTATTGTTAGTAGATTAGCCCAAATAACAATAAATGTGTAAACATTTGTGAAATTTATAGAGATTATTTCAGTTTGGATATTTCTGTTGGGCCTGTTCATGTGCGAGAATATTGCCTGTCAGAGAAGAATTTACAACATTTTGGATTTTAAGACCAAGATGAAACTAGATCTAATTAGAAATATATTTACTAGTGTTATCATGATTTTAGAATTTCTAACTTTGATACAATACCTTGACAAACTTCCACCGACAATAGCATTTTTGACAATACCACAGGGAAATATTGGCATAAAATTAAGGGCAAAAATATATACATTAAATGAATGTACTTTTGACCATAATTAAAGTATTTCCTTATGAAACTTATTTGAGATTAATTAGTCCCATATAATAATAATAATAATAATAATAATAATAATAATAATAATTATGATTATTATTATTATTATTATTATTATTATTATTATTATTATTATATGGGACTAATTAATCTCAAATAAGTTTCATAAGGAAATACTTTAATTATGGTCAAAAGTACATTCATTTAATGTATATATTTTTGCCCTTAATTTTATGCCAATATTTCCCTGTGGTATTGTCAAAAATGCTATTGTCGGTGGAAGTTTGTCAAGGTATTGTATCAAAGTTAGAAATTCTAAAATCATGATAACACTAGTAAATATATTTCTAATTAGATCTAGTTTCATCTTGGTCTTAAAATCCAAAATGTTGTAAATTCTTCTCTGACAGGCAATATTCTCGCACATGAACAGGCCCAACAGAAATATCCAAACTGAAATAATCTCTATAAATTTCACAAATGTTTACACATTTATTGTTATTTGGGCTAATCTACCAACAAACTTGCATTAAGAACATTAACTAACATTACTAAACTGACCTGTGTTTTGTGCCTCTCCACTGACCCATTGGAGTTCCAATAAACCACTTCTTAACCATGACTGCAAATACGCTTTCTATCTAGATAAATTCCATCTTGAATATCAAAGCTCTGATCAGAGACTACCAAGGGACAAGACGCCTAACTTTATGGTATTCATTGCCCCATCAATCTGAGATCAGATGAGGTGTGGCTCTCCAATCATAACACTTTTCTTCAGAGCCTTTTGTTCTTTTGCATCTTCTTTCATCTGAATACAATATAAAAGAAGCATCTGCCTGTGAGGCAGCCAATCACAATAAATATGTCGGTTACAGGGCGAGCAGTATGTCTTCTACTCCACATTATCCACCTTGGCAAAACATGAGGTGAGATTAGAGATAGCTCTATTTTTCATTTCAGGGTGGAGAGTGAGCTGTGAGAAGATACGGGTTACTTCAGGTCTCGGTATAAGAAAAAAATATACTTAAAACCAGTCTATACAGGTGCTACAGTTGTTTAGCATTTGAATGGAATTAAAACCCTTCAGTAAACAAGAAGAAACCTCCAACGTGCTTTGAGTACCTAGTTCTGTATGTTTCCGACCTACCAAGTCAGGTGGGAAAAAGAGCGATCAAACAATGAGGTTCTTGAATGTGCTGATTTCACTGATATAAATACAAGTCCTGTGCTGCCATATGCTGGCAGAGAGGTACAGTACAGACAGATGGCTATTTACAGTAGATATTCATTTGGGGTATTAGAGCGCCTCCTGTAGGCATGTCCTAGTAACGCACATTTAGTTTCTTATGGAAATAATTTTATGGAAAGAATGTCAACAAACTTGAATAAAGAAATCCATTCTGAATTGAGATTCTGCCATTATGCTTCCCACCAACATTTCAATTAATATTGAAAAATGTTACAATGTAAATATTTATTATTTATGTCTAATAATTTCTCTCTGCATTAGTGTCTTTCTTTCTTTCTTTCTTCCCCCTATTATGTGCCCCTAAAAGTGCCCCTGTTATGGATTTTTAAAAATTACCTTTGATTTAAAACATCCTGCAAAGTTTTAAATCTGAAAGTGCACCGTGTATAAAGTTATTGTCTCTCAAAAGAAAGAGTCGTTTTTAAAACAAATCTCAAGCCATTTCATGTTGACGTCAACATTAAACATTAGCATAATGCCCACCCACTTGTTGCGTGCGCAGACCTGGGAAAATAGCTGTTTCCCCGGCTGTACACAAAGCAGCACTGCTCACAAACGCTGCTTTATCAGGCATTACAGGCATGATGAAATGGAAATGAAATCGAACAATCACCGCAGATTAGCGTCATGCAAAGCAGGGGTTTGGAAAAATCGTTGAGTGAATCGTTGAGCAAATTAGTTAAAAATAAATGCATATTATAAGACAATGAAAGTGTTTTTTGACCTTGCATGCATGTCAACTTATTGTTGGGGACCTTTCATTACCCATAATAGGGGCACTTTAATTTAATTTTATTTGCTTGCTATTTTAATTGACATATTTAAATTCCTCTGGAAAATTACAATGGATTAGACAATTGTTGGATTAACACTTCAAGGTGCATAATTTAACTTTTTCCATTTTATTGAAAAATACATATATGCGCACCGAACCGAACAACCTGTACCGTTACACCCCTAATATATATATATATATATAATATATATATATATTTCATTGTTATACTGCTTGTTTAGGAAGACAAAATAGAGCTGGTGATACATAAACATCACGCTGCATGAAACACTGTATCCAATAATACAACTTGCTCAACATAACTTTCCAAAACCAGTTTGGCCTTTAAGTATTTATTGACTGTTACTATATTTTTACTTCAAGCTGGATAAAACGGCACGGTAAGTGCAAATATTCCATTCCTAATATAGCCATGCTTTACAAGCCAGTCACTTTAATGTAAAACACATTAGTCTCAGTCATGAAGAGTTCACTCACCTGGGTGGCTGCCAGCGTAATGAATAGGTCTTTCTTGTATCTGAACTGGCATCACTGGAGGCAGATGTGGAGCTGTTGCCGTGGATGGTGGTGGATGCGGGCATTACCATAGCAACTGTTGCCATGGTAGAGGTTGAGGGTACCGTGGGACCAGGATGTGCTTCGAACCAGGTGCTCATGGTCGGTGTGACGTTTGCATGTTCACAGCGATGGCCGTGGAAGCCCGGACGACACTGACAGATGTTCGGCCGGCGACAAACTGCTTTATTATGGCATCGCGGATGACATCTTGCTAGTGAGAGAACAACAGAGAAACTATATTGTCATTCTGTTAATGGTTTACTACTGCCTCACATAACATGTCAAGCTACAGTATTTCCCAGATTAAATCCTGGAGTGTAACTTTCCAACACATTTCTAGTCAAAAATTGGATGTTGCACTGGCCCTTTAAAGGCACATGGGTCAAGGGGTTAGTTATTAGTTGGTAAATCTAGCTACATACGGATTAGGAAGGTGTGGATTATGATGAGAAAGCTGAGGGACTGGATTAATGATGGACTAGAACTCAGGCTGCTGAAGCCCTGTGCATTCAGAGGTTTGGCCTACTTAGAGCAGAGGAATGTTAGAATGTTCACACAATCAGGTGGACAGACATGAAGGACATTTTTACTGCTGAAAGTAAGATGCACGATCGTAATAAACAGAAAAATCTTTATATGAATATTATATAACACACATAAGCCTAATAAAATCTATCAATAAAACAAAGAAAGACGTAAACAATTTCTCAACTACCTAACTGAACAAATAACTGCTGCACGCTGAAACAAAGAACACTGTGTAGAGGTTTGGCAACCTAAACTTGTCATCATTAGTTTAAATTGAATATATATTAAGTACCAAAAAAATATGTTTGTGTGTTATATGGGAATATACAAGCTGAGCAGTTTTCATCAAAAGTCTGCATCATCTGCTCAAGACACAGGACTTAATGCATGACAAAAAACACTTCATGGCAGCAACACTCTCCATTAAAACCATACAGAAGTACACATTAAAAATGACCAGATTTAGGGATTAAATGAGCAGGTCTTTACAAAAAATGAATTGGAAGTCTTATATAATAATATAATATAATATAATATAATATAATATAATAATGAACTATGATATGATATGATATGATATGATATGATATTATATGATATGATATTATATTATATTATATTATACTATTCTAAGGTTCCTCTTTGAATATTGTGTTGGATAGTAGGGGGCCTTCAATTCAAACAGATTGCGAAACCACATTTTTCCCCTTCCCTTCTGTTTATTATGTTGTTACAGCTCCCAGCTGTGCTGACACTTCAGTTCATTGCCTCATTTGAAAAATCAGACAAATGAAGAGGATTTGAACTAAATGAAATACTGGCAGCCATATAGGTTTGTGTCTTTCTATGAGCATAATAGAAATGTATGAAAGCATCTGAATTGCCCAGAAAAGATACTCACGTTTTGTGCATTGTTTGGTTTTGGGATTGGCCAGCCATGAATAACAACACCTGGTGCCACAAACGTTGGGCCTGGAGAAAGACGGACAGAGATCAAGGGTGAAACTCTGAGCTTGACAATAGTTTTTAAGAAAAAATAAAAAAGTAAAGCCCATCATATGCCACAATGCACAACCATTGAGTCTGCTTGTCCTTAAAACTGCAGAATAAACTTCAAAATTCACTTTTTTTGTCAACTTTCCAGGCTCCGCGGCAAATCAATCTGTTCTGTGCTATTTAGAAAATGAATTACATGTAGTTGAAAAAAAAGGTATATTCCAAGTTGAAATGTTACCGAGTCCCAGGAATGACCCATATTGTATGATATGATATGATATGATATGATATGATATGATATGATATGATATGATATTATATGATATGATATTATATTATATTATATTATACTATTCTAAGGTTCCTCTTTGAATATTGTGTTGGATAGTAGGGGGCCTTCAATTCAAACAGATTGCGAAACCACATTTTTCCCCTTCCCTTCTGTTTATTATGTTGTTACAGCTCCCAGCTGTGCTGACACTTCAGTTCATTGCCTCATTTGAAAAATCAGACAAATGAAGAGGATTTGAACTAAATGAAATACTGGCAGCCATATAGGTTTGTGTCTTTCTATGAGCATAATAGAAATGTATGAAAGCATCTGAATTGCCCAGAAAAGATACTCACGTTTTGTGCATTGTTTGGTTTTGGGATTGGCCAGCCATGAATAACAACACCTGGTGCCACAAACGTTGGGCCTGGAGAAAGACGGACAGAGATCAAGGGTGAAACTCTGAGCTTGACAATAGTTTTTAAGAAAAAATAAAAAAGTAAAGCCCATCATATGCCACAATGCACAACCATTGAGTCTGCTTGTCCTTAAAACTGCAGAATAAACTTCAAAATTCACTTTTTTTGTCAACTTTCCAGGCTCCGCGGCAAATCAATCTGTTCGGCATAATCACAGTTTAACCACTTCTGAAAGGACATCTTTAAAAGACTTACAATCTGTGGCCCTGGGCCCCTTAAGATGCATTGGACTGAGTGAATAGCCTTGGGTTTAAGCTGACCCTTCACCCCGTGTTGCATTCAGCTTGGACAAATAGCGCTGATGAATAAAAATGAAGGGGGGTGCGAGTTTGTTATAGACGCCCCCCTCGTCGGGCCTCCGTCCTCCCTTTGCCAATGCACATGAGAAATATTGTTTTTCCCACAGTGGCGCTGGCAGTCGCGTCTGGTGGGTAAACTTTGCTGGATTAAGAGTCTTCTTCAGACGCCTGGGCCGCATCTGTTTATCTAGCGGCTTCTGGGAGAAAAGGCAATTAGCACACCAACACAAGCCCCGATCCTGAACACTCACGGCCGGCGCGCAACAACCTGACCCCTCTGTAGCGTCAGGAGGGATTTGCTAATTAGTTACAGTATGTGCCTTTATTGTATGGCTTCTGAAGGGACACTGTTGGGACCTGGCAGTCTGAGGGATGGCTGTTGTCTGAGCAGCGAAAACCGATTGAGACAGAGCTGGCATGGGCCATCCAGGCTATGTGGAGCCTATAACCTTCCAAAGCTAATTCAGCACATGCAGATTTGGAGAGTTAACTAAAATCCCTGGATCAGTATGTGAGCTTTCAACTTTCAACTGTTGATTTTATGTTGCATGCAAAACACTGCTTGTAAATATGATCCTAAAATGCATTTGTAAAAAAAATGCAAAAATGTGCATTAAAAAAAAGAAAGAAAAAATGCATAATATGCATGTTACATGCATATTATTTTTTGTCTATGCATATGTAAAGGGATTGTTGATTCAAAACTGAAAAGTAACCCCAATGTCATTCCAAAACCCCATGAAGAACCATTTCCATAAAGAATTTTTAACATTCATGGAAACTTTCCATTGCACAAAAGGTCCTTTATAGTAGAAACAGTTTCTTCAGATTATTAAAATGTTCTTCACACTAGGAAAATAATGGTGCTTTGGGGAGCTAAAAATGGTTCTTCTATTGCATCTTTACAAAAACACCCTTTTTGGACCTTTATTTTTAAGAGTGCATGACTGCACTTTTTTCCTTTATGCAACGTAAAGGAAAACCTGAAGCTGTCAAGCTTCAAAAAGGATGCAAAAGTATCATAAATTAGCGGTAGCTGTCCTGATTTGAGTGTTGTATTTCAAGCCTTTTGAAGCCATACAAAAGTAAAGTTGATCTTTACTCAACTTTGAAAATCTTTTAAATCTGCTCATCCTTGGCATGCTGATAAGAGTGCATGTAATAAGGAACTTTTGAGGTAAATCTTTTTCGAGATAAATCAAGTCAGTTGATTCAGTTGACAAACCAAAATGGAATGATTTGTTCGTCAATCAACTGATTCGAATCTCTAGTTTACTTCACTGAGTCTGACTCATTCAGTGATCCAGTCCCAGCAAGTTTGAGTTGAATGGACCACTGCATAAAACTTTTATTTTGCTTTTGTGAGTTTTTGAAGATTGAAAGTTACAGTCGTATTCTTTTTTTTTTTTCTTCAGTGTAAAAATCCAATTTTCTTCTCTCTTTGCATTCTATGTATAAAAAGAAAGCCACACTGTTTTTGAGTCATGCTTATTTTCATTTTTGGGTGAACTGTCCCTTTAAGCTGAAGCTGTGTTGAGATGTCTCATAACACTGAGACCTTTTACCACTCGTCTGTCTGTCTGATCTCTAAATAAAGGCCTTGACCCTTCACTTGGGCCCCTATTAGGCCCAAATAGGGACATTTCTGCACTGACAGAATGGAAAGTCGCCTTCAACTTTTATACCCCGTTTGGGTTTTAATGCGAGTCGACACCTAAACGATACATTCCGAATGAGACGTGAGTGATGTTTACAGAGCTGAGAGGCTCCCATTAGAGCAAGACTCGATAGTGATCAAAGATGCCTGTGTTTATTCTGCTCACATGGCTACGGCGGACACAACTTTTTTATTTTTCAAGATTTGGACGTGTTAAAGGGATAGTTCACCAAAAAAAAAGAAAGTTGTGTCATTATTTAGTCCCTTATGTTGTTCGCAAGCTGCTCTTTTGCATCCAACCCGAGTGGAAACCGCCGTGATTGACATTCACTTTCACTGCATGGAAAAGAGCAGCTTGAACATTCTGCTAAATATCTCCGTTTGTGTTCTACAGGAGAACTAATGTCTTATGGGTTTCCAAGTGAGTAAAAGATGACAGAATTGTCATATTTGGGTGAACGATCCCTTCAATCTGATTTGCTATCACAAAATAATCTGAAGAATAACACATCTGTTCTTTACCAGCTGCTTTTGCACCCACATGTATGTCATTCTCTCGGCCTACAGCTCTTTTGTTGTCTCTGTGTGAATAGAATGCAAAGAAACAAAGCGGTGAATGAATCTTCCAAACCTCCAACACGTTAGTGGGAGCAGAGGCTGTAAAATAAAGATTGTAAAGGAACCTTTTATATTTTAAAAAAGTTATTTACGTTTGTGCAATACAGAAATGGGGGTTTGTGGTTTTCTTCTTGGCCCCGGCTCTTTTTTCCAGCACCTCGTAACAGAGAAGCTTCAATAAAACCTCAACAGTGGTCCTTGAGGTCACTCGAACTGCTGGATTATCACAAAGCTCCCACTTTGCTTGGCACCTCTATCAAGGAGGAAATAATCGTGTTTTTGTCTCCCTTCGAGGTGTGAAAGGCACCGTTGATGAGCTCTGAAATGAAGCCGTTTTCCGCACTTGGTCTTCTGAGCTCTGAACTGTTGAACCTGCGTCGGGCCTGTTAGCATTACTAAACTCCGCAACAACACCCTCCTTCTCCTTCTAAGCTACCATATTCCCCCCATTGCCCCGGGATGGACATGTTTCCACAGTCAATGTCCTCGGTTGACCCAAAAGCACAATGAAGTCCAGAGGAGGAGGGATGTTACAGACGAGCAGCGGTGCTTCCTTGATGAACTCTTATAAAGGTTCAGTGGCATTCTGGCTCCCTCGAAATGAATATGAAAAGAAGGGTAAGTAATTTCCTGCTCTGTTATGGCTTACAAAGACCAGTCACTAGGTCTCAAACTTTTCAGGAGAATCAGGAATTCCCCTCATTGCTCGAAGGATCAACACTTCCAGTGTAAGTCTAGAGAAACATCTGACTGGATGTTACTGCAAACAAAGATGGGCCAAAGTTTTCACGTCATTCTGGATCTATAAAGAGCTTTGATTGAAGAAGTAATTTCCTGCTCTGTTATGGCTTACAAAGACCAGTCACTAGGTCTCAAACTTTTCAGGAGAATCAGGAATTCCCCTCATTGCTCGAAGGATCAACACTTCCGGTGTAAGTCTAGAGAAACATCTGACTGGATGTTACTGCGAACAAAGATGGGCCAATGTTTTCACGTCATTCTGGATCTATAAAGAGCTTTGATTGAAGTAAAGTGCTCTGTTATGTCTCCGGAGACTATAAACTGCTCGTAAACGTTGAACTTGGAGAAGCAGCGAAGGAGAAAAAAACACAACAGTTTGGATGCCAAGTCAAGATGAGGATGAGATGTGTAGTAAACATGATGCTTGACCTCTTTTACAAGCAATTGTATTGCGAAAAGAAAGTAAAGTCTCACAGAAAAAAAAAAACAACAACAACAAAAAAAAATGAATGGAATTCATTAGAATTCAGTTAAGTTTTCATCATTTGGAAGGTTCAAAAAAGATCCAAAAAAGTTGCGAACACAATTTCTAATGGAATTACAATCATTGTTTGCATAATATAAAATAAGAATCATTTTGGAGTTATTCTGAATAATTACTCTTTTTTTTTGTTTTTTGATCCCATTAAGGTTCTTTATGATTGATTCAGTAATAATAAAAAAAAACAGATTCTCTACATTTCTGTTCACTACATTTGAAAAGCATCAAATATAAATAAAGGTCTATTTAATTTCCACGCCGTTTCGAGGTCACATATATTCAATCATTTTGAAAGATATGAACAAGATCGTTAATGTCATTCCTTTTTGGAATCAGATTCAAATTAGAGAAAAATACAAATTTTAGTTTATCCTGACACTCTTATCTGAATCTTAGCTCATTTTTTAATTGATTCCATTAAGTTTTTTTTTATGATTTATTCAATAATGTAATATGAGAAAAAAACATAATTGATCTTGTACATTTTTACTGTATTTAAAAATAATGTATATAATAGCTAAAGGTCTATTTACTTTTCACCTTGTTTCGAGGTCACATATTCACATATATTCAATGTCTGACCTCAGTATCACCACAGACATCACCACCTCTTGCGATGACTTGATATAAGACACTTACCCTTTCAAATCTATCTGTGTTCGTGTCGAGCTGCTCTGATGTCTGTGTCTCTGCGCTTTGCTCCTGATTTGTGGAGGATGGATGAGATCAGGAGACATCTGATGACTGACTGATGAGGAGCTTGCGGTCCCCAGGGAAAGAAAGGTTATAAATAGAACTCCAGACAGGCAAAATGACGACCTCCACAGTTCTGGCATCGTTATTCCGACCTGGTGAATTGATGCAATTGATGCGTTTTCGCCCTGAATGTAAGTCAATGTGTTTGGCAGAGCGATCCGTCAGCGCTGATGGCCTCAGTCATTCTCTCATCCAGACGCGCTGCTGTGAGCCGGGACTGGCATGAATGAAAGAGATGCGTGGAAAACTTTCAGCCAATCAGACTGATTCGTGGCTTGTAACCGAGAGACAGCCAATCAGAGCTCAGATTCCCAGAGCAGGGCTTGAGGAGTGTGATAGATGGATAAACATTTACATGTTCAGATGATTGAAAGCTTATCTTTTCCTAGAGGCATTTTAAGGGAAAGACGAATAGGCAATTTTTTCGACTTTGCTATAATAAAACAAGGTGACATTTCCCGTTTGAACATTTAAAACATGAAATATACTAGGCCTTTATATGACAAATTCTGCATCTTATTTGCAAATATTATTACAAAACTGGTAAAGTTGTAGCCTAACGGCTACAGAAAAAAAAAGTTGTTTTTATTATTGTTATTATTTTTCTGCATTATGTTTTTTAATTGCAAGCTTGTTATTTTCAAAAGTGTGTGTGTGTGTGTATATATATATATACACACATTTTTCTGTAATCGCATGCATGTAAATATGCTAGTTCAAAACATGATAAACACAATGTTATATACACAGCCATTGTTCAATTAATGATTGAGAGCAAGAAAATAGTTTGAAGTTACAAGTACAAGTCAAATTAAAATTTTCACCCCCCTTTAAACATGTTTTCACATTTTGATTTTAGAATATCAGATTTAATGTTTGTGCTGTTGTTATTTTCCCTCCAAAATGATGTCACTTCCTGGAGGATGATGCCATTAAGGGCTTTATTGTTTAAAGGTATATTACGAAACATTAACAGGAAAGTCAAAAGTCTCAAATAGTTCAATTATAGAAGAGAGACAGAGAAAAAAGGAAACAGCTGGAATATGTCCTTGTTTAATTCTAGAAGCTTGTGCATTTAGAAAATAGCATGTAGAAAACGGTAACATTCACATTTCGGTAACATTGGTAATATTCATTATCTAAGTTGTGTTTAATGAAACTAATATGATATAATATACTTTTACTTTGTCAGCCACAGCTGTCCTTTAAAAAAAGACAAATCAAACACAAAACATTGGCATGGGAAATATGTACTGTATATTCCCAGGCTGCTCACCAGAGCAAACACAACGTCTAGTCCTTTTCATTGCTGGCAGTGCGCCGTCCAGATGTCTGAAGGTTAGTGGTAGGGTAATGAACTACTCTTCACACAGGGGTGTAAATGCACACTAACACCACCACTAGAAGAATACTCTTTCTGCGGAGCCTTTGCTGTCGTCTCTCTCTGGGGCCCCTGGCTCCTCCTGACCAGCGGCTGCTGGAGTCGAGACGTCTGTGGGCTGTTCCTGTGAGAGATATATTCCTCAATTCACCTATGGATTTTCCATTCATCAGTCTAATAATGCCTTGAGGGACTCATACACTGACATTTTAAAGCGTTTAAATTAACCAGGGAATGCATGACATTATCTATTATTCTCTAATATTCTCTTCTAATTTCCTATTCATTATGCCATTTAAAATAACAGTTTTATTTTGTTTTTGGTGAATAAGTAGAGTGAATGATTTTAATTTAAATGTAAAAATAAAAGCACAATTTATTATGGCATATTTATATGAATATATTTATTCATTTATTTAGTTAATTTAGTAAAATGTTTATTATCATATTTATTATTATATATTCATTAATATTAACATAAATTTTACTTCATATATATTAAATAACAATAATGAATTAAAATCAAATTAATAAATATATAAATACATTTAAACTGAAATGAATGAATTAATTATGTGATGTAGTAATTTAATAATAATATTTAAGCTTGCAAGCACTCATGCATAATGACAGGTTTTCGTGTTTAGTGCATTTCTTGAAATATTCTGGACACATGTTCCGGTTCTTTCTTTCACAGATTTCAGCCCCCTTTTAAAATTGTGCTAAATGTGTGCTGTTGTGCATCATATTCACTAGATGGCACTAAAAATCAAAGTAAACGTTTCACTAAACAGAGCATAAATGTAGCTCATCAGCTTGAATTACTACACACAAAGTCAATAGAAGCATATGGTCAAACGCTTTTGAAAGAAAAAAGAAAGAAAGAAAGAATATAATGGAATAAACTCCTGATATTCCTCCTGATATAAACTACTGATATTTCATTAATACATCTACTGTATAGATTGAAGCCATGTGACCAATTCAAATATCATTTTAAAAATACTTGGTTAGTCCCCCAACCTCACTACAAGTGCACATTTAGTACAATTTGGCGCATTAAGGGGTGTTTTCTCGGAGAAAGAGAGCAAAACAGGACCCTTCTGAATGCCATATGTTTTCTGAGAGTGCTGTGACTTTTGAAGGTGAATTGAATTTTTGCTTTCAGTGCAGAAAGCATAAGCCCTGTAGACCAGGCTGTGCATTAACAGAAGAGACTTTCCTCTGATAAAGCCTGACACAGAACTAATTGCACAAGGCTTCAGAGAGCCGGCAGAGAGAGAGGGAGGTGTCAGATGGGGCTGAAATGTTATAATGGCCAATTACAGCAGTGTGCCCACTTTGCACTCACTTGGACACGTTTCTAATGAGCACTTGGGATATAATTAGAGGTCAGAGGTCAGTGTACTATAACCCAGGGGTCACCAGAGGAGAGGACGATGGTGGATGGAGATGCCGCACTTTGCAGCTGATTTTTTTTTTTTTTAAATCGCCCAGAAAAAAAAAAAAAGATAATGTGAAATATTTACAGTAACAAGTCAGTGCACGACAATAATTGTTTGCAATATGTGTTGAGCATTCACAAATAATTACGATGGACAAAGGCTGTGTGGGTGTCTACCAAAGCATTTTTACCGAGGTTAGCATTTTTTTTAAATTGCTTTCAGTGGGAGCGCTACGTATTTAAAAAACACCAGCAGCATGAATGTCTATTTTATGATTGCTGTTTTTTTTTTTTTTTTTTTTCAGTTTGCTGAGAGTTGAAAAATGTTCAACTTTGGGTAAAACACAGTGCTCATCAATGTTACTTTTTATCCAGTCATCCAATTACAATGGAGGAGGGACGGGACAAATATCATGTGACAATGTGACAAAAGAAGAATTAATTCACAGTACTGATGAAGGAGTAGGCAAAAAGCACCAAGATGACCTACTACTGCATGATTCTGAAGTGTGCATATGATGGACACTATCCCATGAGGCCATGGGAGAGGATTTATAAATGTCAGTGACGTGACGCAACTAACTATCGTCAGTCACATGACAATTACAACATGGCAAGTATAGTCGGTCCAGATTACATTCATACTATACACATGCATACGATACATACTTATTTAGCGACTGTAAAGTAATTACTTATTCAAAAGAAGAACCTACTCATGAGAGTATGAGATTTCAGACGCAGCCATTGATTTTATTTTGAGTGACGTCACAATGACCATTTCAAGATAATGGACGAGTCGGTGTGTCCGGAGCAGTCAATTGTGCATGGCATCTACAGTACCTCCTACATATCTATGCTGGATATAGTATGTTCAGATTTCATTGCTACTCATATTCATACTAGATATCGAACACACTTTTTTAACAGTGGTGAAGTAGGTTCAGATTCAAACAGAGTACCTACTCAGACAGTATGCGATTTTGGATGCACCGCGTATCATGTTCAAGACGCCGCAAAAGACATGGAAAAATCATGGAAAAGTAGAGCAGTGGAAAGGAAAACCACATTCTGTTTGAATAGCCCCTAATATTCTCATCTATTACACACATAAAATCTCTCTATCTCCCTTATCAGTGCTTGTAATGAGAAGCGACTGTGAGCTGGTCAGTTCACTGGTGGACGGCTCTCAATCAGCACTAGCCTCAGGCTACAAGAATGTGCTGATGAATCAAATAACAGAGATAAAGACAAGGAGAATAACCACTGCTTACACTGTAGATAGAGCTCCTCTCAAATGGCAGAGAGACATAATTATGGCCTACATTTTGAATTTTATAAATGCAGTAGGATCCAAAAGTCACAGACTTCTGTATGAGAGAAAATTCCTAATTTATCAAATTTTTCATGTATTATCATGCATAACAAATTGAGTAAAATTGAGTTGTACAATTTTAGAAAGCCTTAATTTTGCTTCCACGAAGGCAGCACTAGAGCTGCATGAACTCACGATCATGTTATCCAGCATGAGGTGAGAATGTGAAGTAATTGTTTATACACATGATCAGTTCACATGCTCATGATTAGTGAGTTTAGGCTATATACAAAAAAAATATAGCAGTGGAGATTTTTCTATGGCTCTTTTTGTGGGTTATATTGTTACACAAGTAGGTGGCGACAAGTGACTGTCCGTATAAGTGAGTCATTGAGTTTACTTAACCAATTTTTTCAAAAATACCTATGGACTCTTTTCACTGACTGTGATGACACATTTCCACAGTTAACATGGATTTATTTTTTCTTTTGCTATTGGGGCAAATGACAATGCACTTGTAGTACCCTATCTGTCGGTCACTACGAGTTATGTTGTGACGACATTAGGGGATTTACTTGGGAGCCCCAATCACTCTGACTTTAAGAGAAAACGCCAATGAAATTTGGCTAGTGGATTTTGCATACCTGAGCCACTCCCTGTTTTACGGGGATAAATAGGCGACAGGTGCATCCACTCATTCAGATTTTTGCTTCGGAGCCGAGTGGATGAACGTGTCTGATCTCCACAAAGCCATTTCATCATTCTGTCTGGAAGCTGTCCTGGTTGGCGTTACGGTGTGATTCCCCTGGGCACTTCAACTGAAAGAGCAGTTTCCCTAAAATAGCAAATCACGGACGGCTCGCGTCTTTTTAAAGATGCCGTTCCGTCCCTTTTCCTCTTGGTTGTGGTCATTACCTGTCTTCTGTGGATGGTCACGATCATTGTCTTCAGTGTCTGGTCATCCAACACGCTGAATCTGCGTTCGTGGATGACTCATGCGTCTACTGTGGGCATATGAGCATGGTGTCGCTGCGATC